ATCTAGTAAATACTAGAGCATTCGCCAAGGTACAGGATAGTTCTAGAAAATAGGTGGCGCCACACCAGTCACGTGACCTCGATGACGCAACAATATATACAAGACTAACACATATCTAGTAAATGCTAGGGCATTCTTGAAGGAACAGGATATTTCTAGAAACAGGTGGCGTGATACTAGTCACGTGACCTCGATGTGGTAACAGTATATAAGCCTTGCAGAGAACGCCAGCGGGGATATATGAATGAAGAGAGAGCAGTAGTTACTTTGAGTTCCGTGTAATTTATGAATCTGTTAGTTTCGAACTAGTGAGCCGTAAAGTGTGTGTTTTGTACTTGTCGAGAGCAAAATTATCGAGATTGTGAATCGCTGTGAATAATAGCGTGTATTATAAAAGTTGTTAAGTTTAACGTGAAGAGAAACGTACTGATTGTGGAACTCCTGTGTACTAAAAGTTTGTATCGAGGCAAAATAAAGTGGTTTAATCAAGAAAGGAATTGTATCGCTGAAGATCCTCGGAAGAATTTCTACCGGAAACAAACAAACAAGCAGATACGTAATAAATCTGTGTCAGAAGTGGGATGGAAAAGAAAAAATGGTGGAAACGAGAAGTGGCAAATCAAACTACAACTTAGCAGATTTGATGGCAGCAATACAAGAAAAGCAAAAGAAACAAGAAGAACGAGAAAATAAACAAGAAGAGAGATCATGTAGTGGTTGGAGGAGAAAGAAAAGAAATAAGAAGAGAGACTACTAATGAAATTTTCAAATTTTGTTATCTGTGCAGGTATATCATTCTCCATAAAACATATTGGTGAAGATAGCCAAAAGTTGCAGTTGCTTTGTTAACCTATATTTTGTGCGTTATTTATCTAAAGTACCACCTTATGTCTTCCTTTAGTAAGGATATCTGCAAACTATTGTACTGTGTAAAGTTAGACAGTTAATTATCTTCTATACTCGTAGTGAGGTGATCTCTTTGGGTGATGACCTCTTTTATGTTTCATTGGATATGACCAATCACATAAGTATTGCCAGCCACTCGAGGCAAGTCTGGCAACTATGAGTTCAGTAAGTAACATTATATTTATTCAGTATGGAACAAGTTTTAGACCAAGTAAGCTAGAAACAACAACTTCAAATACAACTCTCCAGTGAAGACAATTGTTCATGGTGGCAAGTAAGGTACATTTTCAATGTGTTTGTTTGAATAATAATTGTTTATTGTGATTGAACATTTTTCTTTAGCCTCTCTTTATTTTTTGCAAACTCAGATAGAAAATACAATATTATTTTACACGAAAATAGCGTGAAAATCTCCCATTTATCAATAGATTTTAATTTGTCACTCATAGAGAGAAAATTTCTAACATCAACACAGAATAAATTATAAGGAGAAATGTTGGTGCTTTGCGGAATTTTTCTGTGTTTCGTATAATGTGTGTATTGCCGTTAACTTAACATTGTTGTTTCGTTTTGAGGAAATAAAATTTCCACAGCTCAAATGACTTATGCAAAAGGAAGAGAATTGGTCATTGAAGAGAGATGGGTATCCAAGAGAACTGTTTGATCTAGGAAAAGTAATTTCCTTGTTGAGGACCTTTCGTTGATGCTACAAAGGTACATGGCATCTTTCTGGTTATAGCTAATGACTCATGAAGGAGAGCTGTCAAATTCTGGTGTACTCACATTTGTCGGTCAAGTTTTTCTTCTGAAAATCTACCTCAGTATGAGGGATGCACAAATGACTGATAATTGTTGTAGTGGAATGGGACCTGGCAAGTCTGAGATCAAATGGGGAAGTCTGTATAGGACTTCCCGATTTTCACCAACTAGAGTAACCCTACCCACACTCTGATCGAAGCCACTAAACAATAGTTAAAAAAGATTGAAAGTTCAGTTGGTATAATATATTCACCAACAGGAATTATCTCATCAGCAGGTGAAATGGCGAACATACAATGGTGAGGATGTCAATCCATGAAGTAGTAGAGAGCCTCTCTGAGCTGTGGAATAACCTGCCAGAATGGCCATGGATCATGGGGAAACTTTTGGTCCAGCGAGACAGATTGATCAAATGCCAATAAATACTCCTTATTCTGCCCCCTGGACCATAGACAGACGACTCGTTCAAGAAACAGTGTCCCTGAGGATTTATTCTATTGTAACCATGATGTCAGTGACATCTCCAATAGGTGCTGACTGAGAAGTCCTAGAAGAGAGGCTTTGCTACAACCACAGACCCCTCTAAGTGAAGCAAAGCAGATTATTCTCCTGGCTTTTAAGGGTTCAGAAAAACACCTAAACCATTTCTAGAAGCATTTTACCTGCCTGAAATGGCTGATCACTAGAACAGGCTGCCCAATGCTTATTCTTTAGTTTGGAAAATTCAACCTTGAACTTTTCTTGAGAAGGCAACCTTGAAACTGCTAAGAAGTCATTGTCAAGTTGCACCAATGGTTTGATCCAATAGAAAATCAAGCAATCCATTGGGTCAAATTCATAACCAACAAGGCTATGGCTGCTTACATGGATAATCTGTGCCACTTTCATGGGAAGACACATCTAGTACTGGTTTTTGTAGATTGATAAGACATCTTGGTGATAAGATTATCAAGAATCTTTCTGACGAAGTGATAAGACACAATCTGGGTATTACAGATACTCTTGCCTTAACAGAGTAAATTTCCTTTGAATTGTCCACCCAGGCCTCTCTTAAATTGACACTTAACTTCGAACCCGCAGATTGTGAGTAAAGTGCCCTAACCATCTGGCCATGCCAGGCCTGAAAATGTAGTTGAACTTTGACTAAATTTGAGGATGATAACATGAGCACAAAGTGAGATCGAAAATGTGCTGGAGATGATGAAATAATAGAAAGAATAAGCAGAAAATTAAAAAGAAGATCAAATAAATTTGATAAAAGACCAGATTGGTGAAGCTATTAGAGATGTACAGAAAGATTATAACAACTATATTAAACAAGTACAGGAAGGCTGTATTGATAAAACTAAAGAATTACATGGAGACATCTATGAAGTGCAGAAAGATTATAACAACTTCATTGAGGTAAAAAAGAACATTAATTACAAAATAAGACATTTGGAAAATGAATTAGCAAATGCAAAGATCAAACCAGCTACCCCACTTTCTGGA